GCAGGAATCAAAGGCTAGAAACAGAAGTCTCTGAATGGAGCGATTCATCTGTGTCACTATTATGGCACAGCTGATCTGCTTCACTGGGCAAAATGCATATCATCCCTTGTCCAACCCTTGATGGTGCAGGACAAGGGGCGATGTGATCTTCCTGCTTTCTGTGCAGCCCCAGACCCATGCCATAGGTCTGGGGCAGCAAGGGTTTCTTCCCTGCTCAGCCAGCTCTGCAGGGATGGCTGGGTGGAGATAGTGTCACAAAGTAATAGACATCTGCTGCAATAAAGTGACAGACTATTACTGCCTTTTGTTGAGCCACTTATTTTCCTGTCGTGTGGCACAGCAAAGGATAAGGATGTTTATTTGCTCAGCATCTATGCTGCCTTAAAAATTAAGGCAGCGCAAAATGAAGTAGGGCAATGTTTGTTTCCCCCCAAATAGCCAGAGAGTTTCATGCTTACACCACCAAACTCCTTGTCACTTGGCACCCCCAGAAGTGCCTTGTCTAGGATGCTTATTTGTACTGTGCTGGAACTTCTCTCTTCCAAAATTGTCTCTGAGCTGACCTGAGCATTCTCTATTAAACCTGTAAAATAATACTCAGCAAAGCTTCACTTGACATCTTGCATTTGCCTTTTATCAGTGTTAATAAGACTTGACCTCTATTTTTTTCTACACTCTTCAAACAAAACCCTTTAAAAAATATTTGAGGTAGAGGGGGTGGGGTTTGGTTGCTCTAAACAAATGCTGAGAGAGAGGCTTTGGTTCACCCCTGTAGATTCCATAAGCAAAGGGTCATATTTGTGGTGCTTTTGTATTGATTTCCTTGACCCAGTAAGCTTGCAACTTTATTCTTTCCAAGAAGTAAAGATCCTTCTGGAATTCTCCCTGGCCCAAAAGCTGCTTTTACTGGTTCAAATTAATTATTTTGGGCAATGGGCCCTAACTTCAAATGATACTCATAGGAGTTTTGCTTTCAAGTTTGCACAAGGAATATTCACTATTTTTGATAAGTTATCAAAGATTAATGTTTGTTTTTCTTTCATTCTCTAGAATGTAATTATATCTAGTGCGGCTGAACGGGTAAGTCAGGTTTTTTTTCTTTTTAATGTAAGTACAACTTTTGATTAATTCTTGCTATAAGTGAAAGCATCAATGTAATTACCCTTTTATGTTTCTTATATTTTCTTCTGGTGTCTGCTTTATTAAAGAATCCTGTGGGGAAAGTGAGGGGAGTTTTTGGGAGTTTGTCTTTTTGGAATGAGGCCAGGGGGCCCCCTGACTCATGAAATTTCTCACCTTGGAGAGCTTTCTGCTTTCCCTAAGTGATAGTCATTGTCTTGAATCTGCATTGGCATCACCAAAAATTCTGGAATCTCATGATTATGTAAAATTTAAACAGACAGTTATGGCTAATGATCTGCAGCATGACATTTGTACAAACTGACTACAGCAGGTGAGGCTTAAGCTTCCAGCCCCATGGGCCAGATGAGGTGTGTGGGGACAGTCTGCAAGTGGGATCCTGCATGACTTGAGCTCACGGGGTCAGTCTGTAGGTGTAGTCTGGCCCAGCCCCAGGCGCCAGATCTGGCTGTGGAGCAACCCTGCATGCCCATGCATGGGGTCATATCCAGACCTGTGGGGTGCCCTATGGGCCAGAGGACAGCTTCAGGCTGAAGGTTGAGAGCACTGCTGTTCTACAGTCGGCATGTATTTATCCAGCCTTCTGTTTTCCATTCTAGCCTTTAGAACTGCGAGGTCCTTATGATGTAGCTAATCTGTATCCTTTTGCAAGTCAAATCTGATCATTAAGAAGAACGTACAAAACATCCAGTTGACTTTGAAGTATTCCTATATCTCTTTCCTTCCCCCGCTAATGTTTTTTAAAAGTTGTTGACTTGGAAGTAAGCTTGTTGGAGTTTGTGATTGTTATAACAGAACTCCTGAGAATGGGAAGATATTCTGAAGAGTTAACTTTGGAAATGTTTCCACATACCATATTCTCTAGTATATAGCACACACCTTCATTATGAAGAGGAGCCTGAAGGGAAAAAAACATTGATTGAGGTTAAGTTAGCAGCAGCAGCTAGGGAGCCAAGCCTGCTGTCAGCCCTGCATGTTTGATAGGCTCACAGACGGATCCAGCCTGGCCCACTGGCTCCAGGGCTGCGTGCCAAAGTCCAACCGTGCTTCTTGGATCTAGAGCTGGGATTGTCTGGGATTGTGTGTCGGGTCTGGGGCTGCCCACTGACTCCAGCCATGCCCACTGGCTGTGGGGCTACACACCAAGTCCAGGACCACATGGCTCTGGAGCTAGCATGCTAGGTCTGACCCTACACATTGAGTCTAGGACTGACCCTATCCATTGGGCTCCAGGGTCGCATGCTGGGTCTGACTGTAGATCAACTCCAGGTACCACAGCATGCAGTTAGGGAGGTTGGCTCCCCATGGGTCTGGCAGGGGAAGCAAGCCATTCAGTGAGTGCATGAATTGCTGTGGCTCCCAGAGCAGCAGTAATTAACACTGTCACATCTTCACCCCTTCCCTCTTCCCCTACCCACTACTCAAATTTCCCTTTTTCTTGCATATAGTACACACCCCAGTTTTACCCAGTTGGTTTTGGGGAAAAAGGATGCAGGTTATGTCTGTCTTCAGAAATGTATGTCTGGAATGGAAATGGTGTTCCTCTATCGCAGGGTTAGAGATGGTTTGATAGTGTTTTAGATTCTGGGCACTGCCATGTGACACAATAAATGTACAGAAACTTTTCTCCTAAAAATACTAAAAAAAGAAAAGGTGTGTTGGGGGGGGGAGCCCGAAAAGAAATAGACATAGTTTACCTAACTTGGTGTGGTTCCTCTGGATCTGGTCTGGAGCCTTCTCTCACAATGATTTTCTGTCAGAAAATATCCTTCCTGGAAAAGGGACATTTTCCAAGGGGAAAATTGTTTATGTTGGAAGAACTTTGATTTTTCAAAATGATAATACCTGCCTGAAAGAAAGCAGAATTGACAGGGGGCCTTCCAGGCAGGCTTCTGCAGAGTTTCTGCAAGGGGACTGAATGTCCTCCTTCACTTCTAAGTAGGGGTATGCGAAACCATTTTGAATTGTAGCTTTAATAGTTCCCAGTCTATTGTCAAGTGACCACATCTATGCATGGGGAAAGAACCACTTAACATGCAAAAAAGAGCAAGCGGATTAAGATCCTTAACAAAGGTGGCAGAGGCTTATTGTTTGGCCTGTCTGAAAGTGATGCCAAGGCAGCTGTTTCAACCAACTGCAGAGCCATCCTTCTCCATGGAGGTGAGTGAATAATGTAGCTATATTCTGTTTTTATATTAACTTCCATATGTATTGTTTGCTTTTTAGTTTTAATAACACAGCCCTTTTAGTAACACCATCAAGAGAGAATCATTGTGAATTCTGCCTTTTCTGGTCATCTGTGTGTGCTGCTTCTTCAGGTTTTGTTTTTCCTCTCCCTTATTGCCTTGTCTTTCTGCCTGGAGTAAGAGGCAAATTAATGATCCTATTGGTAGTGGCAATTTTATTTGAGTACTTCATAATAGCACTTAAGGGACTTTTCTGAAAAAGCACAGATTGCACAATCAAATTGCAGGCTATTCTATTACATTATGTAGCAAAATAACATTTGATTCATGAAGGGCCAGATCCTGGTCTCAACATGGATCTTACCTGTGGGAGCTTTGAGCTCTGTGACCATTTCACATCTGATATGAAAAATCCTGATATGAAATCAAACTCTTTGTTGGGCAAGAAATGCTACCACATAGGCAGATGTTCTGCAGTTTTTTCAGAAAACTGAAGTGTCCTTGTGTTTTCAGCACAGAAGTCTGTGTAACACTTCACATAACACAAACTCTGCAGTTCCTTCCTATCTGCTTCTATACAATATTTTATTATTTAGACCAAGAGGTATTTCTCTACTACAATTGAAATAAACATTTTTCTAATTGTACTATACCGTGTTCACTGGAGCACAGAATCAGGTAGCGAAGCCTGTGCCGTAGGTTAGTTTTTCAGTATTTTAGTTTTCAGTTTTCACATGCCCCAAAAGCTCTGCTGCCTTGTAAAGATGCCTGATTTTAATTTGTCTGTTCCTGCTTGGATTGTTCTCATTGTAAGAGAAATCTGTCATGCATACAAATGGATGGAAGTTAATTCCTGTGACTGACCAGTTAATGCGCATCAGCTACACAGGTGTGAAATTACTGCACATTAAAATTCCCATGCGGATGTTCTTATTTGGGAGTAAAGAGGCCTTATGTTGCTGTAGCTTAACCCTTCTTAGAGGTCAAGCCCACTTTCCTCCTGAGAGTATCTGTGCCTCTCATCAGGTTAATATGCTTTTAGTTATGCACGTTGTATTCAAGCTGTAAGTTCATTTGCCTTAAACTCTCCAATTTCCTTAGACAGGGCCAGAGAGAGGCTGGTGACAGACATTCTCTTTAAGGCATGATGGCATCTGCTCCACGATCCCAACAGTCATACCTCCTGCTATGCTACATATATGTTAGGACATGCAATTTTAAGATTGGAGATTAGATTCCAATCATGCCTTACTTGTAAGTGCAGGGGGACCCCTGCACCAGCAAGTTGAAAACTGGCATTAGCAGGGGTCCATAGTCCTTGGACTGGTTCTGCCCCCTGCCTTAAATTAACTTAAATGTGTGGCCGGGTTACTATTTAAGGTGTGATTAACCTGCTAATCTCATCTTAAATGTAAGTGTCAGAGGCCTAAATGTCAGATGCTAAATATCCCTACTCAGTTCCAGGGTGGGTGTCCGGCTCCAGGAGCCAGGCACTGCCCCATCCCACCCATGCGTGCTGGGATTGGACCCTGTGGCTCAGCACCACCCTCTCCCACCAGAATTGGTCCTGGGGGCCCAGCGCTATCCACTCCCACCTGCATGGCCAGGATTGTACCCTAGGGGTTGGGCACCTGATCTAGTGCAGGGCCCAGGGCTCCCCATGAGCTACTGCCCTCCCACCACCAAATTCCCAGACTATAGGTAATCCTACGGGCTGGATAAGACGGGACCATGGGCCAGATCTGCTTGGGGGTTCAACACTTGCTTTAGCTGGAAATCTAATGCTTTATCCTTCATTTGTCCATCTTTATTCCGTCCCTCATTGTCAGCCAGAACTGAAGGTTGCATGAGCATCTCTCCTGTGGGCTGTTCTATGGCCTAGAACAGGGGTTCTCAAACTGTGGGTCGCAAGCAACTTAAAAGGGGGCCGTAAATTTCCCAGGTCGTATGCGTGGCAGCATGGGGATGCGGCAGTGGCACAGAGTGGTGGGAGTGGCTGCCGTGTGCGAGCTCTCCATCACGCACCGCTGCCATCCAGCACTCAGGGTCGTGGTATCACAAAGTTTGAGAACCCCTGGCCTAGAGCAGTGTTTTTTCAACCTGTGGGTCACAACCCAAAAGTGGGTCACAAGAATATTTGAAAGGGTTGTGAGCAAATCCCAGAAAAACAGGGGAAAGCATGGGTTTCCCTTTGCAAGCTGGCAACATTCCAGCCAGCAAGGAGCTGCTTGGGGCAGTTGGAGGCAGTGGGCGAATGTGCATCTGTGCGTGCACGTGTACATGGCTGGCATTCAGCCAGGCAGGGTTGTGGGAGCAGCCCCAGCAGCTGGATGCATGTAAGTGTATGGGGAGTGGGGGTTGGAGGTCCAGGGGTTGTGGACTGTCCAGGCATGGGTTATCGGATGGGTGTGGAAGGGATGGGTGTGGCGGGCGGGGACGGGTGCCTACTGGCATTGGGGGAAGATGGCTGAGTGCCAAGGCTGCGTCATGGCGGGGGAGAAGGCGCCTATCCTTGTGGGGGGGTCCTTTAGGAGTTGAGAGAGCAGCTGTGTGACTAGCCCAAATGGCACTAGGGATTGTGCCTGTACTGGGGAACCTGGGAGATGGTGCTTGGGGGGCAGATGGGGCTGTGACCAGGCTGCCTGGTGTGGCGCAGCCTAAGATGGGGGGCGGGGGGTGCCACAGGCCTCTTCTCCCTCTAGCCCATGCCATGGCTGGACTTGCCCTGCTACCACCCTCATAAGCCAGAGTTGTTGCAGCCACCACGCTCCAGCTCAAATGGGATGGGGGCAGCTGGGGGCCCTCTCTGGCATGGCTGGGGGGGCAGGGAGCTGCAGATTGGTAGTGAGGGGCACCATCATGGCCCAGGGGGCAAAGGACTCTGGGTTGGGAGTGAGAGCACCAACAGGGCCAGTGATCTGTGGCTTGGAGTTGAGGGGCACTGGCTGGGCCAGCGGGCTGTGGGTCAGGACTGGCCATCAGTGTTTACAAATGGATCCTGGTACAAAAAAGGTTGAGAACCACTGCTCTAGAGCATCACGAAATGAGGTGTTCTGTCCCCACAGTGAGTTTATCTCCAGTGAACTTCTAGTATGTTGATATGTTACAGAGGGGAAATTGCAGTGAAGAGAAATGAATGTGGGGTTTATTAACGCTGGTGCTGTAACCAAATGCTTATTGGCTGATACAAAGCTAAGATCATACTACTAACAGCTTTGTAGAGGGGCAGGGGGAGTTTTTTTCAGTGGTGTGGGCATTGTTTATTAATGTGGGTTTGACAATTTTAGCTGCTGCTTTATACATAAATCCTGGAAGGTACTGTACTTCAGTCATCAAGAGCATGTTTGCTGGGAGCACCTACTTGGGAATGGCTACTATGAGCTTGCATACCTTTTTGTGAAAGTGGAGAGTAAGATGTTTACCAGAAATAGCCTTTTTCCAAAATGTTAATTAGTCCCTTGATCATATAAGAGGTTTTGAATAATCTGGTAAAAATCTGTGCATGTTTCTCTACTGCCTTTTGTGAAGTTTATTTCAATTAATTTTCAGGGTGCAGTAGTCTTCAGGCTAGAGAGAACCCTGAATGTTTGTTTTGTTTTTTAAAAAGGTGTAAACAAACCCTTTCTGACTTCTTTCTACACTGGGTTTGTTTTTTTGTTTTTTGGGGGTTTTTTTCTTATTACATCAGCATCAGTGGACAGCTTGTTCTCAGTCAGCATCTTGTGGCCTCCCACATCAGGAGGCTGTAAAGTTTGGAGAGCCAGCTTTAGCTCCTTGTTCATCTTATACAAAAAGTGCCCGTTAATCCTTTTTCTATACTCAGCCTTTCTCAGATTGTGCACGTGGTATTTGTACACCACTTATTCTCTTTTGCCTGATGTTGATGACACCTCTAGTGCCTAGTCTAAATAAGGCCTTTGCACATAATTGTGCCAATGGGAACCCTATCATAAACATGCTACACTTGTGCAGCTCCCCCTGATAGGGTTTGCTTCATTAGTATCAAGCCTGCAGATGCCCCCAGTCCTGTGTGGACCAGGTCTTTCAGTCCTCCTTTGCCAATAGGGTCAGAAATTTTGGACTGTGCCTATTCACAGTGCAAAATACTTGCCAGCGTAAATTATAGTAGCTTCATTTTTCCCCAATATAGCATATCCAGAACAAGACTGGAGAGACCTCACCGGGTGCCCACCAGACTGAAATAACTTTAATATTTGAACATTACTGTCCTGCTGCTGCTGTTTTTGAACATCTTTTTCACATTCTGGAGTTTATGTGAATACATTAGTCTCCTACTGTAGGAGCAAGGCAGAGGGATGACACCCCTTACAAACACAGGGATGGGGTGGGGGGGATTGGGATTGGCAGAAAACAATCCAGTATTTGTAGGGGCATGGAGGTGGTTCTGCAAGTGAATTCTTCAGATACTAGCATTGTCATACCTCAGCTATTCTAAGCTTTCATGTGGTTTTCACATTTAAATTCCAGAAACCAGGAAGACAGCCTGTGGTGTGGTATACACCATGAAGAAACCTCAACCAGTTGAGGAGGAAGAAGAGACCCTTCCAGCATGCAAAAGAGCCAAGACTCAAGTATGAGGATCAAAACCAGAAGGCACTTCCTCTCGCCTTCCTCTCAATCCCTTCCTGGATTCACTACTTCACTGTTCAGAATGGAGTATTTCCATTTTTATATATGTGTTTAAGTAAAAGAGATGCAGGAATAGGGCTGATATATTAACAATGCTTCACAAAAGCCAAAAGCTCTTTTTTTTGGTTTCAGACGGCTAAGCTGCTTTGCCTGTTTATTAGAGCCATGGTCTACTCCCAACCCTATCCTCAGTCATGGGGGTAAGAAATGTTGCAGTATTAGAATTTAAAAATGTTACTACAAGTTGTATGACTTTGTTTCTTTCTATATTGAAATAATTTTCCAATGAGCCCTTTTAAAAACCTGGCTGGTACTTCTCTTTGAGGCTTAAGAAGTTTCCATATACTTCATCTTACAACTGCAATTTGATACAGCCTGCTCCTGGAGCTGGTCTCTGAAAGACAGTTGCACAGTGCAAAATAGCACTGCCTAATTTTGCATCATTATGATCATCAGCTGAAAAGGACATTCCAACATCTCTGAATTGCAAAGAAATCTAAGTTCATGTTACAATAGTCTGTAATGTCCTGTGCTTTATTTGGTAGGCGTGCTGAAAATTTATAATTTGGGGTGATAGGTGCATACAGCAGATGGACTGCAAGGACCCAAAGTAACACCGTGTGATCAGTATGATGAGCCACTACAGCAGTACGACAGCTATCTCATCTAAGCAACCTCCACCTTATCCAAAAAAGGCAAAGCTAAATAAGACCGTATGTCAGGATCAGTATGTATGCAAGAGTGTCCATTCTGCTACCCGCTTCCTTCCTCTAGTCCTTTCCCCTGTCCTGCTGCCTGCAAATTGCAGTTCTCTTCTAATCAGTTCTCTCCTGCTGCCAGTCTTTTTTTAGGACTCTTTCAAGTCCTGGTTAAAGCTTTAAATTTTATAAGTCATATACAAGCTCGTAATGGGCTCTTGGACTCATGGGCTGCAAACAGTGACTTTCTCAGGCAACAAGGTGAGAAATGCAAGTAATAGTATGTAAGTGATTGCAGAAATCTTTTTGCAGTTGATCCTCAGTGTGACTCAGGGCTGAACTGAGCAGAATTGTTTTAAAGCAAAAGTCAGTCTTACTAATACTTTAGGCAATGGCCGGCAATACTCACTGTAAGATTTTTACTTTGAGGTGCATAGGATAGAATATTTGCCTTTATTATTGTCACTTCTGAGTTTTGTGATCAAGTTCATTTCATCTGTCGCAGGATGTAGCTGATAATCGGGGAACCTGGTTTTCTCTGATGAAAAAAATGCCCAATTTTTGGATTTTAAAAAAGTAACCCAAAATCCACATTTTTCCATAATTAAAATGAAACACCACTAATATATAGATATATATACAGCAGTGTTTCATATTAATCACAGAAAAATGTGGATTTTGGATTACTTTTTTAAATCCAAAAATTGGGCATTTTTTTTTTTTTTTTTTTAATCAGAGAAAACCAGGATTCTTGCTGATAATATACCATTTTATCATTTAGATATATATCATACGTGTTCTGGCCTTATGCTCAAAAAACGGAAACCAAACGCAACTGATTACTACCTAGAAAGAAGCAGGGCATTGCTTTGCTGTATCTTGCCTTTGCCACAAGTGTATGTACTGGGAGTGAGAAATTGTTTGCTGAGTGAGAGGTAGAGAGAGCCAAGAAGTCAAAGCAAGCAATGTTTCATTGCTTATTAGCATTTAATTGAGATCAAATGAATGAGACCTTTTCTAATGGTCTCTCTTTTTTGGCCTTTAAGAAAATGTGAGGCCTCAGGCATTGGTTAAAAACGTTGTTTCACCCCATTTTTCTTTTCTTTAAGCTTCTGAAATCTTTCTGTATCCTCTTAAGCACTTTGCGGCCTGTCAATACTTACCAGTTATAAAGGCTCTGATGTTACTTTGGTTTGCATATTTCACAATAGATTGCCAGCAAGTTCTGTGTCTGGCTCTTTGTAGTGAGCTGTTTGGTTGCACAAAAGAGAGCAGAGAAGCTGCAGCCCACAGGCAAGGGCAGTGACAGGGAACTAGTCTCATGACTTCCAGTAGAGAGCAGGCCATTATAAATAATGTCCATATATGTTTGTAAGGTATTGCAGAGAGTGGGCTAGATTTAATTAGGTGATGCTTTGAAAATGCCTGTGTGAGGAGAGGATCAGCTGTTGAATTGTGTTCCATCCCTCAGGGACAGGTCTGCCAAAGAATTTTCTGTGTTTGTGGATGTTCTGTGTGCACGCTGTCTTGTCCCATTTATTTGTATTCGCTCTTGCAGTGATCCCACTTTTGTAATCCATACGCATCCCTATTTGTGCCAATCTAAATAGAGCTAGTTCTTAAAATCATCATCATTATCGCTGTGTTGTGAGGCCTTAAGTCTCTTGGTAATGCTTGCTGGCTGGAGTCTGTCTGAAGTGGAGAGCATGGGCACAAAGGGCATTAGCATTTCTCCCATTTAAGAGTTGGACGGTAGTATGTGGCCTGTGTAGTAAGGAACTGTGGATCCTTTTGGGCCATGGTGTGTGTGTGAGAGGTCACCAAGACCTTTGACGCATGCTCCTAGGCAGGAATATGGAGGAGTGGAGACTGCCCAGACCTTCCATCCCCTCTTCAGGCCACTGAAAGAGAATCCAAAGTCAAGACCAAGTTTGGACTTCCAGTGCATGGAAGTTACATGTGCATCCAGAAATCAAACCCAGGTTTCCTGCATGGCAGAAGAGGATTTTACCACTGAACCACAACACTAGGAATGCTGCTCTAGAAAAGAGGGTCTTGAGCTCCCAACACTGGTGCAACTGTAGGGGGTAGGGTACAGAACAGAGCATGGCTCTGTTCTATTTGCCAAAATTGAGAAGGCATTTAGCTAAGTGACAAAGGGGGTGATTTATTGCTGGCATTTCCAGGCAAATGAGTAAAGGTATCTTAACACAGAGCTGACCAACTTCTAAGTGGCCTGGGACCACATGCCACACAGCCCACATCAGCAGGGACTGTACCAGTGAGAGCCATAGGCTCTCAGGCCTGTATAACTCATGCCCCCACCCCCAGCTGCACTACATGCCTGGGTGCTCCCAGTCCACTGGGTGCCCTTCCCCACCCCTGGCTGCACTAGGCACGGAAGATCTTCCCCACACTGCACCAGGTGCCGCCCTCACCCTAATATTCTCGGCTCCCCTGCTGCATGGTGCTTTCTGTGCTTTGGGATGCTGGCTCCCCCAGCTTAAGCACTACAGGCTCTTGGGCTGCACCAACCTGCCCTTGTGGTGGGGAAGTGGAAGCTGCAGGGGAAGAGGGCCCAGAGACCCTGGCTGCTTCTGCAGGCAGATGGATGAGGGAGTGTCACCCAGGTGGAAATCTGAGGGGTGCAATTTAGCCCCTTGCAAGCCACCAGTTGGACAGCCCTGATCTAAGGTAGTCGACAAAGACAGGGCTTCTTCTGCACTACTGCATAAGCAGGATCTACTCAAACAGATAAAAAGAGCCACACAGTTTATTAAATCTTAAATAGGATCAATACAAAATGTACATAAAAAGCAGTACAAATGTTACAAATATACATCATCTGTATTTCATTCTTCAATTATGAGGCTGTGCATTGCTATGCCTAGAACTTCTGAGGTGCATGTTTCTTCCACTCTCATTCTCTTACTTTCATCACGTGACATTTGAACCCAGTGGTTCAACCAATTAACATCTGACATCAGTGCTTGAGCTTCCTTGTCAGTAGATTGTCCAGTGTGTAAACCCAATTATGAACTGCTCCTTTAATTCCACCTGGCATTTCTAAACCTATTGCCTTCCACAGTCTTCCACATATTGCCACTTGTTTAACAGCTTATTCTAATACAGACAATTTGGCAAAGATGGAATAACAGTTACAAATATTAGCTCTTTAGATCTACTGAAAGACTTGATAAGATGTGAAGCCACTAGTATACTTGGAAATGCTGTAAAGATTTAAAAGAAGACGGAGAGGCCCAAGAGGGTTAATATTGCTGACTGAGGTGACCACAATTAGTAATTGAAACTCCATTTAAAAGTAGTAGTAACATTACTTGTGATCGAGATGAACAGTGGATAGCCACTGAAGGACAGCAAGAAAAAAACTTACAAAATAAAAAATAAATAAGAATAAATAAAGCAATTTTACTTCCAGTGGAATTGGAACACTTAAACAGTCTTTTTGATTCTTTTTCTGCGTTTTCCTACAGTATTCCAACAAAGGCATGTATAAATAATAGAGTAGGACCAGCAATTTGTAGTCAGTAAAAACAGTATGTTCAGGGCTATTTTTCATCAGGCTGGTTATGGTACCTTTTAAAATCCCATTTTACAACTGTTAAAGAAGAGACTGAGGTTTTTTTCCTCTTCAGAATGTATCTATTTGTGAGCTCTTATAGGATTTGTCTTTAAGGCTGTTGAATATTTCTTTGGCGCCATTCTGCCACTGAAGTACAAGATCCATAGGAGTTTTTCCTTCCTATTTAATAGAGGAAAAAACAGGTTTAATTTCAAGAGGTGAATTCAGAAATAAATCTACTATTCTTGTTCTCTCTTAGGTGTGAGTAGCACAGATATATAATGTATGGACTTTGGTTCCTAATGGCTACGTATCACTATAGTATTGGGGTGTTGATCCAGGGCAGATAACCAGTTTCCACCAGCTTCAGTGGGATCAGGCTATATTAGCTATTTAAATTCCATCTGCAAAATAACTAGCTAAATGTTAAATTTACAGCAGATTATTTTGTTTTAGCGTCAACACATTCCTAATCAGTTTAAGCTAAGTGCACTCAGACACTTTGAAACTGAAGAATACCTACATAAGAATTTTCACCATTTTAAACCGGTCTAAAAAATAATAGCTTGTGTCAAACATGAGCAAGTTTCATTTTGTAGACAAAGTCTGACCCTCAGTCTCTGTGCATATGCTAATATTGCTATCAGTGACACTGTTATAAAGACTAAATAGTGAACTGAAGGAAGCATCTGGCAGTGTTAGCAAGGTGTTAAACTAGGTGGCAAAACAGATTAATTTCCTTACCCTGCAATTGCTTATTGTAAAAATCATTGATTGATGGCAATAAAGGTCACTTTCCAACCTGCCAGGGTTTTATTTGCTGTATTTTAGCAACTGGTTGCAGACCTCTGCCTGTTCCACAGCTGCCACTGGCAGACTTTCTAACAACAAAAGGTCAGTTTCTTCCTAAATTTTAAAATTCATTTTAGCCTGAGATCTCCCCTGATTGACTTAATGTGGCCAACCAGTCAGGATAATGATTAACCAGTCATCCGTTCAACAAGATGCTGTTTCAGTGGGGGTTTTAAATGGTACTTGGTTATACAATGTGAGTGCGAGAGTGCGTAACAAAGAATCAAGTGTTTGGGGTCTTTTAAAATCTGTCATTTGGTAGTAAAGATACACGGAATAAAATTTTAAGTTATTGCTGGTACAATTTTGACATCTGAAAAAAAAACCTGAAATGTCCAAGAATACATTCACCATTTATTAACCGACTCCGAGTGATTCTCAAAAAGTTCAGATTAGATGAGCGTAAGCATCCCTTTTGGCCTTGAAATCTATGAAATTATTCTAACAAAAAAACCGTTTTAATGTAACATTTTGTTAATACTTACAGCATTCTTTATATTTAGATCTGCTCCATAAAGAATCAGGAGTCTAATCATTTTATAACGATTCAGCCTCACTGCATCATGCATAGGTGTATCTCCTTCCTAAAAAAGAACAAGATTGATTACAGGTTAGAGCCTGCAGTTCTAGGACAGCATTCTAGGCTGAATATCAGATAGTAATTTTACAATCAAGTGAAATTACAAAGGTGTGTTTGGCTCCCTGTGAGATTATAATTGAGAAGTAACAAATACTGTATGTTAGGTAAATATATTACTTACTCTGTCTCTGGCATTAAGATCTGCTTCACAAGCAATAAGGTGTTCACCACAGTCATACCGACCTGTCCTCACAGCTACGTGCAGAGGTGTACTTAGCAGCTGGTAAATGGGAGGGGGAAAAAATCAGTGGGTGTAGGTTTTTTTGCCTTTGATAATTAACTTTCCTAAGAGGCAGAACATTCTGAGAACTGCCACCAAGCAGTTATAATTTGGAGTAAGGACCAATTCTTCAGACAGGCTTAAAAAGTGCTTTTGCATCACACAAGAACCTACCTTGTCTCTAGCATTTCTGTTTATTCCTTTGTCTAGCAAGAACTTCAGAACTTCCAAGTTTCCCCCACGACATGCCCAGTGAATAGCAGTAGATTCAAGCTACACCAAGAAAAACAAATAGAAAATTACTGACCCCCCCAAAATAGCAAAGGGGACAATTCTGATAGAAGTTCTAAAATTAATGAAAACTAGTTTGTTCTGATGCAATCTGACCTAAAGCAAATTGGCTGTAGCTATTAGCAGCATTTTTATTAGGCCCTATTGTCCCTAGTACCACAGATATGTCATCCTTCACAACCATTGCATGTTGTGATTGAGGCAGCAAGGTCTATTTAGGCCTCGTTTGCAATGGCCCAGATCCTTAAAGCTGTGTAGTCATCAGTACAAGTTTGGTACATCTTTGAGGATCTGGACCAAAGCAACTTAAGTTAAAACTTTTATAAGACAGTTTTAGTCAAACTGCAGTTTGGTTTTCTACATAGTAATTTACAAGAAGAGGTTCCAAATCTTAACATGTGGCTGTCTGCAGTTAGACTTCTGAATCCATGTGTCTGCTCCCTGAATCTTACAGAAGAGCTAAGCAACCCCAAATCCTAATGGGGTCAGGCAAATGGTGGGTGATCAGGGCACATGAGCACAAAGCTTTGGATGTTTTGGTGCCTACTATGGGTTTAGAAGCTCAGTTGTTGGTGGGCAGGGATGAGAATTCCTGTGTTTAGATGCCAAAAATTGAACCACAGTTGTTTTGACTCTCTTGCCTTTTGAACTCCCAAAAAAAAATCAGGAAAATTCAAAACTTAACAGAAAAGGAGTTGTGTTCCTTCAAGATCTTTTTCAGGTTTTAAAAAGTGGATTAGACACCTCTTCTGTTGTTCTTCCTCTCCCCCAGCCGAAGTTCCAATTTTAGTTATTGCCTCTGCCTTTTCAGGGGAGGGACCATCTTCGTCTCCCTTCCCCAGTGCCCTTCAGAGGCATCCTCCTGCCTTTGCAGATCTTTTTACATTCTTACCCCTCCCATCAGCAGTCTCTGGAGTGTTAAGGCGATGAGAGGCTTTTCCAATCCCTGCTGTGTAGCAATGAGACAAAGCGCTGGGAATGGAGAAGCACAGAAACAGCTGCAAAAGCTGTTGATACTTGGCTACCCTTGGAGAGCATTCCAGAAGTGCATTGTTCTCACCTTTGCCCAGTAGAGAAATCCTGTTCTAGCACATTGGGGTGGATAGGATGTATAGCGATAAGCATGCTTTAAAGAGATCAGGCTGTGGTATCTCCACCACCACCTGGGGGTGATGGATTAGAGTGGTGGCCTGATTGTAGGCTCTTGGGCAGGGCCTACTGTGAAGTAGCAACACAAGTTACGTGCTAGGCAATCTGTTCATCTTGCATCTTCCAGAAGTTATGTTCATGGGACTAAGGAGAAGCACCAGACACCATGGTTTTGAACCCTTTTCTCCATAGACCTGTTTTAGAGGTAAATTCTTACAAGCCGCTAGAATCAGTGGTGACAGGTTAGTAATTTTGATCTCACATGTATGGGTCTTTTTGAAAACTGACATATTCAAAACACAGCAGGTTCTTAAAGAAGAAGATCCATATATAGATGTGTATACCATATCTTGGAATTCAAATTGGGCTCCAGCTTCCACTAGCTTTTTCACCACCTCTAGATGTCCTTCTGAGCAGGCCCTGTGTAGTGCAGTCCGTTTGTACTGTTAATTAAAATAGTGATAAGTCAAATACTAAGTGAGGGTACAAAGAGATTTGTTTAAAATAAAATCCTTTTCCCGCTCATAGCCCAGATGATGGAAACCACATACTTTATGCTTATTCATTTTCAAGTGCTTATACTTTTGAGACTTTAAATCTGCTAAATTTTAATAGCATCCTACCAGATGAGAGCTGCCTACCCAGCATATTTTAAAGGGCATGAGTAATGTCTGCAATGTGGCATTCAAGTTAAAAATATTCTGAACCTCTTGAGTTCCCAAGTCTGTCTTTATACTATGTTGCAAATGCAATTTTACGCAGGATATAGCCTAAGAGACAGATAGTCTCTTCTCATCTGGGAATATGGCAAAAGTGGATAACCAAAAACAAAAAGCTGTGTTGCTAAGAACAAAAGAATCAAGTTTTTATAGCTAAGCAGAAAGGTTTCTGTCTTGCAGCTCACTGACATTGAATCCGATAGTACTGAAAGGCTTTTTGTCAAAGGAAATCAGGGTTTCCTGGCCACCAACAAGTTTCCATTAAACACGCATACTTCTGTAGGTAAAATATACTTCCTATACTTCCAGGGTTTCCTTTAAAGCAAGAAAACCTAATAAACTGTACTTCCCTAAGTTTATCATCTTATTTTACACTACAAAACCTCAGGAACCTACAAAATGTAATGGATACTGAGATTTTGCTTAATTGCATATAGTGATTTCTCTTGTAGTTGGCTTTGAAGTAAGAATATAAATGTACCTCGTCAGAAGCATCTGGATCCCCTTTATCTGACAAGTATTTTTCAATTACTGGCAACTTATTCTCCAGCGCTGCTTTTAAAAAGGTTGGTACATCCACTGATTCTATCTGATAGAAAGAAATATGCAGACTATAAATATGGGTTACAGCTGTACAGTATTCTAGAAATCCCATCCAATCTTTCCCAGAAGAATGTACATACTGATGAAACAGAACTCACAATTACTTCAGGTTCAGGTTCCTTTAAAATGGGCACTTTCACTTTCTTGCATTTTTTCCTTTTCTTCAGCTGAATAATTTTTTCAAGATCCTGCAAGTTTTCAAGTTTTGGTCTCTCCTCTAGCTTTTTCTTCTTGAGCTGAATGAATCAAGCAGAGGATAATGATGAGTCCAGACAAAACATAAAACGCCTTTCCTTTTTAAAACACCAATGTAGTTTATTCCCCCATTTGAGATTAGTGAAGTACAGACTGGAAATATGGTGCAGTTTATGAACAGCATTGGGATGATTAATAAAATTGGGATTAATTAATAAAATTTAATTAACTTTAACTTAATTAGTTAATAAAATAATTAATACAATTTATTTCTAAGAGAGAGAGTGAATTCTACAGCACTTGTGAACTTTATTCAGAATTGGACCTCTTTCTAAAACATGTGCTGAAGTTCAACCATAGATGGTAGGAATGAAATTCTGTTACCTGTGTCTTGTAGGGAGTCAACCTAAATAGACATGATTCTCCCTTCCAGCCTTACAACCTATAACATTTTATGGCCATTTCAGTATAGCCAAATACAAGTGACAAGCATTTGTAATTCATTTTGATTTCAATACAAGCTTCATGTCCTAAGCACCTTTCAGGATACTTTGTCCCTCCTCCTGCTTTTTTGTGTAGCTTGTAGCTTTAACTTAACTCTGCTCAAGGAAAATATATCCTTAAATTAGCCTGATTCATGCCAGTTTTAGTTTGACTCAATAGTATTACATTCTGTTAACTAACTAAAAATGTAGATTTGTGGGCTACTTCAGTCAATGGAAAGTTTCCTACTACTTTCAGTAGGCCATGGGTCAGGCATCAAATTCCCAAGAACTGTTTGATAATTATGTTTGTGAATACTCCATCAATAAGTGAGTTTGAAAATATTAATTCTCTGGTTAGTGATAATCTCTTAGTTAAATTGGGTAATTTCTGGGCTTATGAATATTTCTATATTCATATACATACCCCTCCTTTGTAAATAAAAGCCTTGTTTCTAGTATTTTGTTTAAACTGCTGATTCTTTCTCAATAAGTAGGATTTTTCTAATGTAATTGAACTGCTGTAAGTGTTGTGTGTGGCAGGTTGCTAATTTACATTGATGAATGGGAGACCTGTTGTAGTGCTTTGTGAAACAGGAAGTAAACAAACATGGGGGGGGGAATGAAAAGCTGCTATATCCCAAAAAAGGTACTTGTTCATTTGTTTTGACAGGAGTCATTTTAATGGCTACTATTTCTGCATGGTGTGCTAGAAAGCGTGCTGTGGGGGCTGGGGTTGGTAAAAGGACTTCAGGAAAGAACTATGCTCTTAAATCTATGCTGGGAAATGGTGAGAGATCCAAACTGCAATTGCTATTTGTTTGGTTGATGCCAGCGATGATTATTAAGTTTACAAATTGGATATGCCAGGCCTTTGCTTACTGTACAGCTAGCCACAGGAAGATAAGAAATTTCTGCTTCTTTAATTAGAAGTGAAAAATGAAGCAGCATCTAATGCTGTTTTCAGCGCAACATGATTGAAAGCCTGTTTTAAGTCAATGAGATGATTTCTGTTGGTTAAGTGGACTCAGTGTCAGGTATTCTGTTCTCCCTGGGTTGAGGTCTGTCAAGGTTTTATTTTTTAGACTCGCCATTAAAGATACATTGGTTAGAACAGAACAAAAGACATGGACAGTTTTTAGGGCTTCACAGGTACAGCTGCCACAAAATGATAAAAAATGAGCACAAAACCAAAGAGCCTACCTCTGCCTCTAGCTTTTTCTCCTTTTTGTAGGTAAGATCTCTTTGGGCCAGTAAGTTTTCAGGGAGTGTCTTGAGATCCTCTTGTTTCTCTAATCTCACAGTAGCTTCATACTCTCCATGTTTGAAGTCTTCTGGTAGGAAACCTCCAGTCTCATTGCTGTTACTCTTCTTCCCCGTCACCTGCAAAAGAGAATGAAATATTATGCAACCTACAGTACAGAATCATAAGTATCCACCAACTGCAAAAACATGAACATCTTATTGTTTGAAAGTGGTCTGTCTGTCCCCACATAAGAGTGTATGTGGCACTTGGGGGCCCAACACTTTCACAAACTCTGAAGCCAAATTAAACTGTTATGACAGTTGTCATAAAGGACTAACTCACAGGTTGACCCAACACTTCGCAAGTCAATGGAGAAGCTCTCACTGACTGGATCAGGCCTACTATAAGAGAGCATGCCATAAATTGTCTTTCTGGCTAGGTTCTGCTTGCTACTATAATAACAATATCAGAATAAGTCTCATTATAAAACTGGAATCAGGGTTTGGGTTTTTGTTTTTTTGTTTGCTTGTTTTTTGCTGTTTATTATTTCTCTACCTTACCTTTTTAATTTATCTTGTGTACTACTCTCCATAAACTCATTGGAGTAAAAGGTAGAAAGACTTGCTACCCCTCGCCCCGCCCTGGGTATCTCCCTCTCAGTAAAAAGTTGTTCCGTATTGCCTGTGAATGAAGTAGCTTTTTGTAACCCATATAAATTAATGGGAACCAACCTTTTTGGCAGTCATGCACAAATGAGCCCTGCAACTTCTCCAGGTGCCACTCCGGTGCCCTTCCTTTGCCCAAACTACTGCTCTGCTTTATGCTCCCTGCCCAGTTTTCTGGTTTGCTTCTGCTTCCTGCCCTATCTCCTGCTCTGCTGCCCATCTTCTCCCCCATCTGCTTGTCCATGCCACTTGTGGCGTCCATGCCACAGGTTGGCTACACAGCCTTAGCTAATGATCTAATGCCACAAGGCGTAGGCATAGTTTCTAAAAATGTTTCCTGCGCTTGATTACATACCTCCATTAAGAGAGTATGTTAAAGTTATGTGAAGGCACAGTGCATTTGGGGATATATTTCACAGAAATTATACAATCCAGAATGTTTTTGATATCAAATGCTGTTGTACAACTTTGGCGGTGGAGAATTTAGCACTGTAGAAATCAGAGGGGTCTTGCCAAAGAATTTAAAACTAGCATTAACTGGTTATGCTGTATGGCATTTTCATCCTAACATATTCTTCTGGGAGGAAGAAAAATTTCCAAACAACTTTCCAGTGTTCTTCTGAGTTTGTCACATTTGCTTAGTTTATTGATCCAATCCAATTTGACTAAGATGAACACTAAGAAGAATATTCAAGCTATCTGTTGTCTAAGATATTAATTTTCAGGAAGTCAATTAGTCTATGGAAAACAGTTTGTATAGGAACAGATAGCAACTTTCAATTTTGGTTTAAAAGTTAAGATAATCTTGCATACCTACATCTACATACATCTTTTACTGGGTGTTAACACATGTGCATAATTGTAAACAAATACAGCATCTGAGCAAATAAAGTAAGTAAATCAAAGGTATACACCTAATTGCCTGGTTCATCATATGCCAATCCAAAATATAGTCAACCATTTCATTAGATTAATGGAAAACCCAAACCCCAAGGACAATTTAAAGCAAGCTCTTTTCAGCATAGTATGATTCAGCAGTGACAATCACTCTACAGATACCTGTAATAATAATGAACAAAGACACTGTTATTGACTAGTTACAATAAAAATCCTGAAATAACAGTAACTGAGAGGGAGCAAAGGCAGCTTGTACCTACCAGATCCTCCACTTTCAGCATCATCATGTTTGCTGGTTGTTGTTAGTTGTACTCCTTTATGGATAAGACACCCAGTGCTCAAGTCAGCTCTGCTGAGACCACCAGCCTATCTTAGCTTATATATCTTTGGAGAACTTAGCTTGGGTGAGATAATCTTCCAACCTGGGAAACCAGATATGCCCCTTGGATTCGCCAGCTCAGAGGTAGGTTCATTTTCATTCCAGACGTGTTAACTAGCCAGATCTAGTGTCAAGAGAGAAGGGGGGATGTCAGTTGGGAGCTAGGTTGAGTCTCACTGTCTAACCGCACTGAATATGTGAATTGGTATGAAATGTGAGATCATCATTCCTTTGTCAGTGACACCATAGCTCAGAAATGCTAGTCATTCTAACTTCCCAGTGCCCACTAGGACAGCTGTCTGTTGATAGTGCATTATATCTTTTTTTTTTTTACTGACTTTCAAATGACTATGAGACACCGGAAAGGGTAAGTGACCCATTTAGAGTACTTGTGGTAATGTCTTTCTGATAAGTGGATGACCCCTTAAGTTTTGGGAAGGCATTCTTTTCATTGCCATCTATTTTTGGATGGTAAACAGTTTAGAGGAAAAGCTTTCTCTCATCATGATGGCACTCTTCTATATTTGTTGGAAGGAATTCTCTGAAGGGATTACTAAACCAGAATGATGTCTCTAGTGCTAAAAAGGCCTATGACCTGATAAGTTACAATCAGTATAAGATCTCAAAACAGCTAGCTTTGCATTTTTCCTGGAAATCGTCACCAGTCATAAACAGAGTAGTAAATTATATCCAGTTACTTTCTGAAAAAGTAAAATCACTGCTGCTTTCAGAGGCAATATTTTCCTTTTGAGCCTGAGGGACTTTGAGAAGAGAGAGAACCTAGTCAGCAAATGGATTAAGGCTGATACGTATTAAATAAAGAGGAACTTGCAGACAGAAGGAACTTCTACTGACCATGAAAAACCATATGTGGGCAAGCTCCTCTACTTACATAAATTGGTGTCTGTGATGCTGACCTTTCAAGGTGCCCATCCTCTCCTAAACTATCCACTAGTAGTTCGAGTATGTTCAAATGTATCTGCTAGGCACCTCCCTTTTCCTGAAACAAAGCTGAGCATCAGGTGCTTCCTTTACTGATTAGAATATTTGTGACATTGGAAGGTAAGCCCCAGAGCTAAAACAGAGTATGTGGGACAGCCTTTCTAAAACTCTTTTCCCAAATACTAATACCTCCATATGTTATTCCAAAAGAGTTATTTTCTACATGGCATTATTATCTGCTTCCAAAATACATTTGTATTCCTGCTCTATGTTTACTAGAACAGGAGCCAGCTTGGCTTGGCTTTGCCTTGTTTGTAACTGACATAACATGGGGTGCATCTACATGAGACATTTTGCTACACAGTAGATTAATCTGTGCAGTAAAGCACCACAGTCTACACAGTTAGTACCTGTAAATACAGGTGCTAAATTAACTGTGCAGTACTGCACTTGTAGACTCTGACCAGGAGCAAATTTGCTCCTGGTCAAACTAGGCAGCAGAGGGCCACAGGGGATGAGTTCTCTGTCTCCAGTCCTGGTGCTGCACAGCTCCTGCCAGGAGCTGATCAGTGCTGGAACTAGGGAACTCTCTTCTGTCTCCCCTCTTCCCCAATCCCAGCTCCCAGCCTAAAGCTGAGAGCTCTGGAGAGTGAGTGGGAGCTGGAACCCAGCCCCGCTCACTCTCTGGCATAGTTCTGCATGGTGTGGAGGTAGGAACTCTAGCCCCCGCTCACTCTCTGGAGTTCTCAGCTCCGTGCGGTGCAAAGCTGCTCTGGGGGCAGGCAAGGGCTGGGAACCTAAGCAAGGGAGCTGCTGGTCAAATGTGCCCCCCCCCCCCCCTCCATTTGGCAGGAAGCTGTTTAGGAACTGCACAAGGCTCACTGGTAGCTGCCCCACTTGCAGTACAGTTCCTGGTCAGCCCCTTGCTGAGTGGAGGGGCCTGCCTAGCAGGAGGCTCACTAGCAGTTGCCCCACACCTGGGACAGCTCCCAGTAAACCCCCTCCCAGGCAGGGAAACCCAGCCCGAGAGGGGGCATTGCTGGCAGCAGTATGTCCTGATGTGCACGGGGACAGGAGAGCTCTGCTGGCTGCAACGGTGCTGTCTTCCCAGGCCCATGCACATCAGCACCCACCCTGGCCCCTGTGTCCCTTACCATCCCCCAGACTAGCATCTGGGGGAGTCTAGAGCTTTCCCTGGCTACTGCACTGGGGCAGAGCAGAGTGGGAACAACGGGGTGCATATGTAGATGTGCTCCCTGGGAAGGCTTACTGTGCAGTAAGCCTAAAATGCATGAATAGCACATGTAGATGTGCCCAGGAACTCTTAAACTCTCACAATGTGGACCACATTTTACTAGAGAAATAATCTTTTGAGCTTTTAACATCTGCAGTTACACGCACCTCCTCATAGTCAGCAGAAGCTGGTAGAAGAATGACACGGGAAGGAAAATGTTGACAGAATGGTTAAAAAATAGCTTAAGAAACTGTAACTTGTCTCAGATCTTGTTACATTTGAAGCATGGTTTTTCTTTACATTTAATGTATTTAAAAGGGGCTTGATATATGAAACTCTGCAAGTAAAGTGCTAAATTAGAAGGACAAGGGAGATGGAGCCTTCCCTGAAACTGGTTCACTGATCTGGAACTCAAATGAGTTTGTCCATCAGTCTGTAGAAAAAATTCAAAACGTACTACTTTGACTCAGACTTCCTATGGTACCACCACAGAAAATGAACACAGTCAGTATTTTTTTAAGAAGCCCAGCTCCTGATGACTAGAGGGAATAGAGAAAAATAAATATTTGTAATGCTTAAGATGCCTGAATAGCGGTAATGGATGACAGATTTAAACAAAGGCTGGCTGAGTGTAAAATCTGAATTCAGTTGGTGTTTAATGATTGAAACTAGAATTTTGTCTGCGTTGTTCCCTTGGCATCGGAAAAGTTACATTGTTTTATATTAGCTGAGACTTGAGCCGACGTCCTTGGCACAATCCCCATCTTCCAATTTTAGGGGAAGTAGCACAATTATCCATTAGCTAGTGCTGCACTATAGTTACTTAATCATCTTTCAACCACTGATTTCCCATATCTGCTTTAAGTTAACAATAGCAGGTGGTCAGTGATAGGCATGTGTAATGGAATTCTGGAGAGCACAGGTCAAACTGCTATGGGCAGAGCAAAGGTTTGCAATGTGCGAGTCAGTTGAATACAGCCAAGATTGTAACAAAAAGCATGAAGGGCAGTAAAATCAACAGGATGTAGAAATAAGTAGTAGTTACATTCCTTGCTACTCCTTGAGAAAATATTTGGCTGCTGTAAGGATTTATTTTTAAATAACTATTAAATAGTTTCTAGCAGAATGAAAAAAAAAGTTTATACATCATATACAAGATATTTCCATGTTGCATGAAGCGTATTATCATGTTTTCAATGCAGTCATCATATTTGAAGCTATTTTTATACTGAAAACCTATGCTCTTGGCTCTTGTTTTCAAAGATGGTGGCTGTGTGAAATATCACCGACCATTTCGTTTTGACACTGTTTTGACCAATTTCAAGGTCAAAACAGCAAAATCAGAATGAAACAAAGGCTGTCAAAATAGCCTCAAAACAAAACAAGGCTAGTCAAAACATCTTGACCATAGTCTGGGAATGGGAAGTCAGTCCAGCTGGGCTGACTCCCATCCCCAGTGCAAGATCTGGCAGAGGGCACTAGATCCCCATCCCTGGTGCTAGATCGTGCCGGGGGTGGAAGACAGCTCAGCTGGGCTGCTTTCCCATCTGCGCCACTAGATCGCACCAGGGCAGGGGGAAGAAGGCAGCCCAGCTGGGCTGCTGTCTCATTCCCCACACTAGATTGCACCAGGGCCGGAAGGCAGCCCAGTTTCCTTCCACCCTGTGGCGCGATCTAGTACTGGGGATGGGAAGTCAGCCCAGCTGGGCTGACTTCCCATCCCCAGCAAAATGTCGAAACAGCCTTTCTGTTTTGATGGAATGGAACAACTGTTTTGACTCTAAATGAAATTCAAAATGGAATGCTGTTCTATTGAAACTCAAGGTGAAGTGGAATGGTGCTGTTTCGCACAGCCCTAGCCATGTGCCTTCTACAAGGCCATTTCCATGACTGTCTGTGTCTTTCTACAACTCCTAATTTAGTATAGATTAGTATGAAAACTTATTTGTTGAAAAGTGATTGAATTTTATTAGTAAATGTTAAGAATCTTGAACCCAAAAAGATGACAAAGCCATATGGGAAATAGTCCCTTGGTCGGACACTCTGAAACATAAAAGGGATGGGGGTGAGGAGGGGAACGCAACTAAGTTACAGAAACTACAATGTTAGCCAACTAAGCCCAGGGGTAAGGGGAGGGGGTGGAAGAAGGGGTGGGAACGGGGTCACAACGCAGAGAGAGAGAGAGAAGACAGATGCACACAAACCCATACAATGGTTCGCAATGGTGTAGGGGGTAGGTTGAAAAAGCTTCTCAGTCTATAGAGTCTTATCATGGGGGTCCTCTTCAGGTGGAGTGGAGTGGAGTGGTCTATCTTTGAATGTTCCTCTCAGAGTCCATCAGGTACAGAGGGGGATTCAGGCAGTCTCCTCTGGGTCCGGTCCAGCCGCGGCCGATCTGGTGGGGTTAATGTATTGGCCATGGCCTGTGATGTGCTCCATGTAGGTGTCATGGGACCAATGGTTGGTGTCAGACACCATGAGGTGGCGCATCAGCTTGGCATAATGGTGGGAGACGCAGCAGGCACACAGGACGCTCGCGTTGCTGGGGTCCCAGACTCTGAGCGTTCCCACAATGAGCGCATCAACTGTCCATCAATGTGTAGGGAGGCACACAGGTCGAGCCTGCCAGGGCTGCCTGCCACAGCCTGAAAGAGTGGTTCCATGGCCAAGTTGAAAATGATGGGGCTGAGGGGTCAGCCCTGTCTCACCCCCAATTGGATGGGGATCTCGTCAGTCTCTCTTGGCAACGGGGGATGATATGGTAGGGGACCTACAGATTGGCAGTCACCTGGGGGACAGTGATCACCAAATAATAGAATTCACCATAAGACGTCGAGTGGGTAAGGTAACTAGTAGGGTGAAAGTGCTAGACTTTAGGAAAGCTGATTTCAATGAACTCAGGCGATTAGT